TGGTAAAACATCTGCAGCAGCTTCTTACAGATGTTGAAGGACCCCAGCCTTCTCAGGAAGTACAGACGGCTCTGTCCCTTCCTGCAGATAGTGTCCATATTTGATGACCACTCCACCTGTCGTCCAACTGCTAACTGCTAATTGTGTGCTATACATTACTGCTCTTGATATGTACCGCTCAGAAACCAATATTAGATAAACCCAAGCTATCCCATTCAAAAACCCTAATTTATATAACCAGCAGTCAAAATCCCATCTCCCCACATGTAAAGCTAGAATCAATTAGATTTTGGCTTTAGTTTTTTGAAAATATAGGTATAATAAACTATCCAGGTTACTGAAATGGATTTATAGACTTTTAAAAAAAGTTGTTCGGAGCAGCTCTGCTCAAAAGGCCTACAAGACAAGACTTTTTAATATCCATTTATCAGTATGTTTTTGTACAGTGTAGACACAACAGTTTTAATAAACTGCTGTAGTTCATGTTGAAATCGAGAGGGGGCAGCAACACAGAAACAAGATGTCGAAGCGTGCCGTAATAGTTATAACGAAGAAGAACTTTACTTTGGTACTTCACTTGAACCCAGCAGCCTCTTCCTGCCTGGACTGTCCTGCCCTAACTTTAGCGCTTCAGCTTGTCCACGGAATTGTCCTATCTTGTCATCAAAGCAAGGTAGAGGCACCCGTTTACTCTGTCTTTAACTTTGTTACTAAAGGTTTGTTACGTTTGCTTTCTCGGTTGTTGTCTGTGAACAGGTAATTTTTCTTGTGACGCTAAACTTGAGTGTAATTTCTGCTCAGTTAGCTAGGTAAGCTGATGTTGGCTGCACGAACCAAGAGAGTGTGTTAACGTCAATGCTACAGTGGATGTATTGTTTTGTGTGTTACGATAGAAGTTAGAGAACAGCTTACTTGTGATATGAATTTAATTCAATGTGGCCGAGTCCTAACTCAACAAACGTGTCTTTGTTTGCAAGGTCAAGCTATTATGTCAAGAGGATTAAATTCATTCATTTGTTTCTAAGAATTCCATAGAATAATTTTACATGATTGATATTGTTTTTCATTTTGGGGACTTAACAGTTTAGTCAAACACTGACTCAAAAAGATTATAATTATTCTACAGATATTCAAAAACACCTACGTTACTTTCAAAAACAGTCCAAACCCCAACAATGATTAAATTTCATATCATAGAAGAGTTTAAAACAAAGAGTTAGAAAGGCATCACAAGTTTACAGTAAATGACAAATTGTTTAATAACTTTAACTTCTTCTATAAAAAGTCATTGTTAAATGGATGTTCTTGAGAGGTCAACGAGACAGTAGCCGATGTTTAATATGTAATATAAAGGTAGAATTTCAATAGAAACACACTTGGAGGAATTTGAAATTCCGATGATTAACTGAGTCCTTGGACAGTTATTCCCTGTATCAAATGGTGTTTAAATTATTCACTTTATTCAGGTAATTTGTTGTGCAACAGATCGAGACTGGGTGTGTCTACATCAGTGTCACCTTTAATTGGAACAAGAATTGCAGAATTCCCTCATTGGACTTGTGTGCTGCTCAGTCTGCAGTGTCAACCTGCATGTTTATCTGACAGGCAAAGTGGAGGGATTATTGGATGTATCATGTCATGTGGTGACTGGCAGAGGGAATTTGCTGTGACAGGACATCTACAACCTATATTTATATTATTGAGTTAAACCGCAGCAAATCCGGCCGGTTGTTGTTACAAGCTTAACCTTGCTTTGACTGCAGCAGAAAATGCTACATCCTTACGGTCATGTGATTAATCAGACAAGAAAGTCAAATCCAATTAGGGTTGTAGCATGTCAGTTAGCAACCTTAAGCTTGCAGCCAGGTCAGGATATTCTTGTGAGTAAGCCGCAAGGACAAAAGAGAGTAAAGCAGTGAAAATAGTTGAAGGGAAAAAAAATATAGACTCACTATCTTTCCTTCTCTGTCAAGTTGTTGTTACAGGCTGTGTTTGTTCAGAGGATTGCAGGAAAGTAAGTTTCACTTCTTTGTCTGGTCTCAAGGTCCTACACCATGTCCATCCTTAAGATCCACGCCCGAGAGATCTTTGATTCTCGTGGAAACCCCACCGTGGAGGTTGATCTTTACACTGACAAGGGTAAGCAAAAATACTGCACTAAAAAAGATAGAATAGAATTCTTTTTTTATTTTACTCTAATTGTCTTCTCTGCTTGGTTGTTTGTGTCACAGGCTTGTTTAGAGCTGCCGTACCAAGTGGTGCATCCACCGGGATCTATGAAGCCCTGGAGCTCCGGGACAATGATAAGTCTCGCTACCTTGGGAAAGGTTTGGACACTTGTTTTGTTGTTCCTTTGAATAAAAAATTGTTTTTCCTATATCAGATGTAATTTCAGAATGGTAACCACCCAATAGAAACCAATTGTATTTATTTTTTTCAGAGGCAGGAAAATAAAAAAAAATACATATTTACGCTTATCTAATTCTTTCTTTTTCCGTGTCATCTTTACTCCTCTCTCTCTCTGTCCTCCTTTCCCCCAGATGTGAAAGGGTTAGTTGGTTTTGATTGCCTGTCTTTGGTATTTAAAGACAATTAAAATTTGTTATATATATTAACAACATTTAACGGTCTTGACAGCTGATAATTAAATGTGTGTGGCATCACATAAAGATAAGAGGCATGATGAACTGTCAGTAAAGCATGTTGAAACTACAGTATTGTTGACAAGCCTGTGGACATATCCTCGATGAAATGAAACCGTGTTGACATGTTTAAAAAGATTTTGAAAACTTAAAATAAATGTATTAATGCTGTTGCATGTCTTTCTGTCTGTGTGTAAGAGGATAAAGCTGCATGTGTTTTAAACATCTGACTCTATGATTTGATTGAAATGCTTTGGCCATAATGTTCTGGGAGAATAACAACTCTTATCTGTCCGTCACAGGAGTTTCAAAGGCTGTAGAAAACATCAATTCTACTATTGCACCCGCACTTGTTGGCCAAGTAAGAAAACAACTTTATCACTCTCAGTCTGTGTGTCTGTTTCTCAAAATGTGTTTTCTTATTGTACTGTGTGAACAAACAAGCTTTCTTATCGATGGTTGTCTTTTAATGTGAATCTTTCCCGACCTGTTTCCCCCTTCTTGTCAGGATGTATCTGTGGTTGAGCAGGAGAAAATTGACCAGATGATGATTGATCTGGATGGCACAGAGAACAAATGTAAGTGGCTATAATCAGAATGTTTTTTTTGTCTTTTCTAACTCCCACAAACTTCAGCAGAGTCTTCATGATTATCTGACTTGTTGCAGATTTCTGATGAGTAGCTGTTTCAGTTCCTGTTTGTTTATGCATCCGTGTCTGGTTTTTCAAGCCTACAACCTTTAACAGGGCTTTGCATGCTGCAGAGTGCTGATCTGACACCAGTGTTTGATTCATAAGATGTATGGCACACTGTGCTGGATCATTCTTTAAAAACAACATCAAGTTTGACTTACACATTGGTTTTCTAACTATGACATATATAATGTGGTGTGCACACGTAAAAATAGAATTAGATTGAATAGGTCAGCCCATGATTGGTGCCCCCTGTAACTAATAACTGATCCAGCAATTTAAATTAGCATTGGACCCCTATCAGTATCCAATCTGTGCAGCTGTGAAACCATTAAACCATTGTTAGTAAATACTTGATAGAGATTTTAAGTATGTATTTTATTAATATTGCATATTTAAATTCTAAATGTTCTCCATTTAGCCAAATTTGGAGCAAATGCCATCCTGGGTGTGTCCCTTGCTATTTGCAAAGCCGGTGCAGCAGAGAAAGGTGTCCCTCTATATCGTCATATTGCTGACCTTGCAGGAAACCCAGATGTCATCTTGCCTGTGCCAGTAAGGATCTGTGTGCAAAGTGACATTTTTTTTCCTCATTTCATTTTTTTCCTTACACCTTTCAGAGGATTGTGAAGTAAAAGCTCTCGTCCCCCCCCCCCCCCCCCCCCCCCCCCCCCCCTCCCCCAGGCCTTCAACGTGATCAATGGTGGCTCTCATGCAGGCAACAAGCTTGCCATGCAGGAGTTCATGATCCTGCCTGCTGGTGCGAGCAGCTTCAAAGAGGCCATGCGCATCGGAGCTGAGGTCTACCACAACCTCAAGAACGTAATTAAGAAGAAATATGGTCAGGATGCCACCAATGTGGGAGATGAAGGTGGCTTTGCTCCAAACATCCTGGAGAACCAGGAAGGTAAGCTAAAGAAACGTTTTGTAAAAAATGGATAAAACAAAGTATAAACCACATGCACAATATTCAGCTCACTGCAATTTTAAAAGAACAATCTCATTCTGATTGTTTGCCTTTGGAAAGGTTGGTATTTATATGGAGTGCTGATGTAGGCTTTATAGGTATATTTGTTCCAGGCTTCTACAGTTTGATGCATATCAATGGTTTATTGCTTCCCTAATATTCTGATCTCTCAATGTGAATGACATATTCTTTCTTGATGTACTCCTGGTAGATAATTTTCTGTGGTGTGAAGTTCACATTGTAATGTTATGATGTTTTAACTCTGCAGCTCTGGAGTTGATAAAGGAGGCGATAGCCAAAGCTGGATACACGGAGGAGGTTGTGATCGGCATGGATGTGGCGGCATCTGAATTCTATAGGGAGGGAAAATACGACCTGGACTTCAAGTCTCCTGATGACCCGAGCCGTTACATCACTCCTGATGAGCTGGCTGATCTTTACAAGAGCTTTGTGAAGGATTATCCAGGTAACCTCCTGACACTTTATCTTTGTTCACATTATTAAGCAGGTGATGATCAGGGCACACAATAGGACACTAGAGTCAGCAACTACAGTACGTGGCTGATCTGTAGCTTGACTGGATCCTTTCTTCAGTTTCAATCTATTTCTCTTCTGACAGGGTCAGGCAAATGAAGTTTGTGCTATGGTCAACGCTGGTTTATGACATCAAACACCTTTTAGCCTTAGAGAGCTGCCAACAGCAAACTCAGCTGTCAGCATCTGTTAGTATAAAAATGAAATGAAACGGAAGAGATAAAAGTGAAAGGATACAACACCATGTTTTTGAAGCAAATACAACTCGGTGAGAGCACTGACATCAAAATGCAGATAACAGAAATCTGTCATTTGACTAAAAATCAGCCCACTGAAAAAAATCAAAACCATTCAAACTGGAGCTGAAAGTAAAATCATCTGTTTTCACATTGTAAAAACATAACTTACGCTGAGATCAAGAGTTCGATTGGAAGGAACATTGGATCATGCATGTCTAAAACAAAGCCTGAGCTTACATGAACATGTCTGGAATACTGAGACTATCCTGAACTGTCTCAAAGAGTAAACAACCATTACACTTTAGAGATAGGTGTCCTCCTTTGATTTTCACTCACACTACATGACTCACTTGGACATACTCTTTCATCAGACTGTTCCCTTGTGCTTGTTTTTTTTTTTCCCTCATGGATATTAATGTGGAAATACAATTAAACAGAAATAATGTTGATGTTCTAATTCAAAGCTGTGATTGGTTCTTACATCTGCATGCTTTGCTTTCAGTGGTTTCCATTGAGGATCCATTTGACCAGGACGACTGGGCAGCCTGGAGCAGCTTCACTGGAAGCACAGACATCCAGATTGTGGGAGACGATCTCACAGTGACCAACCCTACTCGCATCAGCAAAGCTGTGGAGGAGAAGGCCTGCAACTGTCTGCTGCTAAAGGTCAATCAGATTGGCTCCGTCACCGAGTCTATGAGAGCGTAAGTTAAAATAAGTCAGGGTGTGTCTATGGATCAACTTAATGTCAAACAAACACCCTCAAATATTTACTTGAGTCATGATTATATCAATCAAACATGCCTTCATTAAAATGGCTTTTCATTCCTTTTTTCATACGGGTAATCGGTATAATTGGTCATCTTTTAGTACAAGGCCACTTTTTGATTATCTCCTGTTTGCTCTGTTAAACTAACAGGATTAGACTGTGAGTAGCTCTTTTTGTAGTGCTTTTTGAACACGTTTCCTGTTTCTTAACAAAGATTTTATTGCAGTGACTTGTTGCTGGAAAAGTACTGGTTTGCTTCCTATGAAGCCTTTCAAATGTGGCTACTGCCATCTAGAGGCACTTTTCTTACTACCACATAGTTCAATAGTAAGGCATTATAACAGGAAATCTGGAAATAACAAATTAATATTTTTGAATTTCTAATATATAATATTACTTTAAGCCGCTGTGAGAAGTTTTTTTAATGATTATGAAAAAAAATGCAATTATTGTTGATGCAGCCTTTTGATCTGCAAATTAAAAGGGACCATCAGTGACTACATTGATTTATATAGTAATTTAATGAATTCAATTTTGAACTGGAATGTATTAGTCTCTCAGTTAAAGTCTCGGCTGTCCTCCTCTCAGGTGTAAGATGGCTCAGGAGAGCGGCTGGGGTGTGATGGTCAGCCATCGCTCTGGTGAAACTGAGGACACGTTCATAGCAGATTTGGTGGTTGGCCTCTGCACAGGACAGGTAAATTAATTTAATGACAGACATTAAGTTTATTATTGTTTGTTAAAAAGAATACATTTTACAATTTCACATTGATGCCAAAAATATGTCTTCATCCTCATTTTTACATTTCAGTGTTATTCCACTTTTTATCTACTTTGATAGGAGTCTAAATATAAGACGTGTAAAATAGAATAAAAGTGTGATCAAATGTGTATGGGAATAATGACCAGATGACAAGATTAACAGAAACATTGCACACATTTTCTCAAACACTTTTAGATCAAGACTGGGGCTCCATGTCGCTCTGAACGTTTGGCCAAATACAACCAGATTCTGAGGTAAGAACTGAATCACAAACGTTTTATTCTGAAGCTATGACGTGTGTGTGTTATTTTACATGTTGTTAAACATTGCTACTTTTATAAAAATTGTATGAATTATATTGTTTTTGTTTTGAATGCCTTTCTCTCAAGTGGTCTGATTCTTTGCTTTTTAAACAGCCTTGTGTCTGTTTATATCTTATCTTTAATTATGTGTTTAATTAAAGTGTTTAATTATTGTTTAAAAAAAAAGTAGAAACATTAAAGAGGGGAAATTAACTTTGAACTATGTTTGTCTATAGAATTGAAGAGGAGCTCGGAGACGAGGCTCGTTTCGCTGGAAAGAAATTCCGGAACCCACTGGCGCAGTAAATGAATAAAGCATTTCTTCCTACACATGGAGGAATTAATATGCACAGATGTAGAAACAACACACTGTTACAATCATGGTTAATGAAGAACTAATGTCACACTAACTGTGGTACTGAGTAAAAGAAAGAGAACATACTGTAATAAGCAACACCTCTACTATTCTGTTTGTGGAGTAAAACAATAGACCAGATTCAAACTTCTGTATTATTTATTTACAAAACTAATTGATTAAAAACAAAACTGCACGTAGATTGAAAGTTAATAAAAAGTTTTCTTAGAGACAGAATGTGTTTTGATTATTTGTCCCATGTTTCTTTTTTTTTTGCCATGGTGGTGGTAGAGGTTTTTTTTAAAAAAAATAAAAAAAAATATTCAAAATTTTGATTAATTCAGCACATAGAATAAACAGTATTGATGATGTGAGCAAAACACATGATAATCAAGGTGAAGAGGGAACTGCAGAGCCCTTAATAAACTCCAAAACTTGCAAACAGAAGTGCACATCTGTAAATAGCCAACTAGTTATATAAATACATAAAATAAAACCAATGACTTCACCTTTGTGTATGTTATCTTTTCTGGTATCTTCACTCTTCTGTTAAAGTGAATAAGTTATAGACAAAACAAGATATCTGAGAACATTATCTAACTTTTTTAGGCACCCATTGAGGTTTCGTCACATTTCAAAGAACAAACTCATTTATGAAATTACTTTACACATTTCTCAACGTTGACATTTCCAACCCTACCTCTAGTCATTTTTATCATTACCTACGTTTTATGTTATTTCAGTTCTGAAAGCCAGATTTTTTTGATACTCTGGCTACTGATTGAGTTTTTAAGCAATTCCCTGCTTATCTAATTCACCACATGAAAAGTTGTCTTCACCTCTGTAGGGAGTTTTTTTTAATATTAGAGATTCTTGTTAAACTTGCAGGGTCCATTTGAAAAAGGGTTCGGTGTTATTTATTTGTCTGCTATCTTCATACACTGTGAATTCAGGTATGTTATAAAAATACATGCTCTCTGCTTCTCTGTTTGAACCCCATATCTTGAGTTGTCTGTAGAAATAGATTTTAACTTTATCAAAGGACTTTAACTGAATAAGTTATTTAAACAAGTCTACTTAAACTGTTAGAGGTGCAGCAAATGCTCCATTATGCATTTAATTGTTAATTACAGGAAAATACAAAGCTGCTCGATTAGCCTTTTTTTTAATTTATTGTGATAAGGTGAACAAGTACAAAACAAAAATGTGCATATAGACATGACAATTAAAGCGACGGCAAATAAACAAAACAAAATCAAAATACGCAAACATTAGCGAAGACAAATACAATTGACGTAGATATAATAAAAGTCAAGTAGTAAGTTGAAGTAGTGTACAAGAAACGTGTGAATGTGTGTGTGGCAGTATAATACATTAAAGTGAGTGGCTGAATGGGAAGTAGCAAGAAAAATAAATAGCAACAAAATTGAAGATAATTGAGAGGAAGAGAAAAGAGGGGAGAAAAAAAAGATATACAAGTGTCAACATTAAAGGAAAGAAGAAAATTTTAATTTATATATATAGAAATAACAAAATAAAATGTTCGGTGTTAATGTGTGTGTTAACAAGTCTACTTTAGACTTGGATGTGTAGCAAATGCTCCATTATGCATTTAATTGTTAATCACAGGAAAACACAAAGCTGCTCGATTAGCCTTTTTCATCACAGAATTAGGCTGCATCCATTCTTGCAATATATTGTGTTAAATAATTCCACTTTAAAATGTTTTCACATTGATGCTATATTGCCGTCTGAATTAACCTTAAAACCATCACTGCTATAAATAGTGCAAAACATTTTTTTTTAACTCAGTGATTTACTATACCACTGCCTTTCATGAAGCTACCACGTATATTATTTTATTTTTCTTTTTTTTTGGTGGATAATATGACAGCTTACATAACAGCGTTCAATAAGCACAGCAGCTCAACACAATATGGTGTGTTGTGTGATTCATGGACGGCCGTGCAGAAGCAGCTGATGAGCGGCCCCGGTGACTGCTGCTGATCGGCGGCACATGCTCAGTTATGTACACCCAGACAACTTTGAAGGCTTAGCTGTGGCTGCTGAGGTCATTGCACTGGAGAAAAAAGAAAAAAAAAATACACCGACTCCCTCCACTACACCGCCTCCATTTTGAATAGCCATGTAATAGGGGATTCGCATAGTTTGTGTGTATCGCCCACTGCGCTGCGTAGTGTCAACAAGGCACATCCAAACATCCCTCGACATGGACGACCTGTTCAGTCCGCGGAGGTAACTCAATTAACTCAGCCTTTTTTTTGTTTTGCATTTACATTGTAGTTGACGTGTAATTAAACACGTCGTTCAGTGTTTCGTCGCGTTACTTTGAACGCCGTTTGTGGGGAATAGCCGGAGTGTCAGTGGTCACGAAGTTCGTGTCTAGCTAACAAGCTAGCCGAATAACAGCGTAATGTTACTGTCTCGTTAGCAGCTAGCCGCTCTCGTCGGTCGCTTTAATGTGTCTTAACAGCGATTACTGCAGATATCATGTTTGATAATGTCAGATAAGGAGATTAACTAAGTGCATCGTTTAATAAACCTGCTGTTATTCCCCGTGGGCTCGACGTGTATTGACATCGTTATCGCTGTGTAGATGTAGATATATTGACATGTCAGCGACATGTTGTGCATGCTAACAACATATTTATTATGATTGCACACTTTGCCTCATAGTTAGCGACCACTCGGAGTCAGCTTCTCTGTCAACCTGTTAAAAAAGCGTCAAAGTAAGCACACATTGTTCACGTAATGGTGACCGTGAAAATGAGCTGCTCGTGTTATGATTGATTGACAGTTCCCTTTGAAGCGGCTAGCGTCGGATTTCATTCATGTAATATAAGGAAAACGTCGCAGGTCACAGCTGACATTGGCTCACAGCGATGGAGGGGCGGGTTGTTGTTTTTGTGCTGAAATCAGATGAGCAGATGGAGAGAAGCCGCTCCTACAACAGCCAAGTTATACACGTATCGATCCTACGTCAGTGTGCAAGCTGCAAGGCTGCAGATCATCATTTTCTACATGGCCTACTGTTAAACTATAAACATGACTTTAGAATCGTGTCCTCACATTTTCCTCCTTATCGTATTTAGAAAGACAATCATCCGAAGTGTTGAAATGCAGTGCACATGATGGATATGGGGCGTTAATGTTTTACTTGTTTGTTATTATTTCAGAAGCCTGAACAGCACACAGGGAGAGATACGAGTTGGACCAAGTCATCAGGTATAGAGAATACACATGTAGACATGGTCAAATAAATTATAAATACATTCCTATATCCAACAGGCAAACATATAAATTCCTTAGTTTAAAATGTGTTTCAAAGGTTTGCAGGAAAACTGAACTAAGGTGTTTTGTGTTTGTTTTCCTGTTTGCCTTTGAGCTCATTATGAGATCAAACCGGTCTGTTTGGTGTCATACAGTGTTCATACAATAGGCCTTATAATTTACGATATCTAGTGTGTATGCATATTTCTCACAGGCTACCGTCTTATTTGAATGCTTAATTGAGTGATTGAAGTACTTTAAAGGCACTCCTTCAGAAGAACAGCGTGATCAGCTAAGCCTTTATCAGTTTATTACTTCAGTTAGATAATGTTATAATAACAAATGTCTGACGGTTAAACTGATATCACAATGTTATTGACTCTGTTACATCCCACTTGAAAAGGCCCTCGGAACAATGCTGTCATTAAATTTGATTAAAACACCACACTTGTGCACCATTTAGCCTCATGTTTTAGCACATCACCTTCTTATTAACTTCATGTTTTTCGAGCTTGTTTTAAAGTGTCTGCAGTTATTTGTCAATACTCTGGTGTCTTTAACAGGCCAAACTCCCGGAGTTGCAGCCTCGGCCTGCTCCTGGTCTACAGTCTCAGACAGAGAATGAGGAGCTGATGTGGACACCTGGGGTCAACGACTGTGACCTTCTCATGTATCTCAGGGCCGCCAGGTCAGCGTCTGCTCTGGAAGGCTAAAATCAATGGTTATTAGGTGATATTGGACAGTGTTGAGTCAGGTGTAAAGGGTTGCAACCTTTGCTAGTTTTTAATTTAAACAGAGTTGAATACTTTAAGTAGTACGTTTATAAGTAACACAGTAAGCTTAGTACGCAGCAGTGACAGTAGTATTGTTCAGACACAGACCCAGGTTTTATTTATGGAAACTCCAGGTAGTGATAGTGCTGATAATACCACATGATAATAAAGAAAAGTGATAATGCAGGATAGTATTAGTGATGAGAAAGGAACATTGCACATATTAATGAACACTTCTCATTATCCAAATGTGGAAAAGTAATATCCCACATGATTCCCAAGCATTCCAAACTTATATCTCAATTGTAAAAAGTGTTATTGCACATGAAATGAAAGTTATCATTGCACATGATAATGAGCATAATGTAGTCCATTCTTTGAAATGCTTTCCTCTACATTATATGGAAATTCTGAAGATCATTGCCCATGATATGGAAAACAGTACTGCACATGGTATGTAAGCTCTGCTCCATTGTGCTGCTGCAGAAAGTGGAGGAGTCATACACTTTGATAGTTACAAGTAGAAAAGACCTCCTGTGGAGTTCTGTGGTGCTCCTCAGTGGTCTCAGTTTTTCGGTGGGTACAAAGCTTCGCTGCTAGGTCCCCCTGCCATAGTACATCAAAGTTAGTGTTGTCTGTCTCTTATTGCCCAAGGGACAAGAAGCTGGGGCACCACAGCTTGAGTCACTTTGTTGTAGTTATGTACAGGTTGCTACAAGAAAATTATTGGCCGGCCCATTCTCTCTTTTTTGTTATTATGTTTTGGACCATTTTTTCCTTCATTGAATAGGACAGCTGAAGAGAGAGAGGAAAGGTCGGGAGGAGAGAGTGGGGGTTGACATGCAAAGGGCTGAGGATTCGACCCCACAGTCCCTGCGACGAGGACTAAATCCTCTGTACTTGGGGCAGAGACTTAACGGCTAGGGCTATCCAGCACTCTTATACTGGCACTTTTTTTGAGCGTGAGAACAAAAACACCCGTTGTAGCGGAGCCTTGACAATTAATAAACTGTGATGTTTGAAACTGTGGTTAATAGTGTAACTGGTTAACCGCTTCATCCCTAGTAGCAACACCCTTTCTGTTGTTTTAATTAGTTGGTAAACAAGTTATTAAACAATTTTAGTTAGTAAGAAAGTAAACAACACAGTATAACAGACAATAAATTATACAAA